GCTGTGTGAGGGGGAACCCAGCGGTGAGGCTTAGGGGACATGCCTCTCCCTTCAGATCCAATTCTTCACAATGATGAGGGTGTTGGGCTTCCTACCAGGGAGTTCTCCCTGGACCCTGCTGGGGGCTCCATCTCCTGTATCAGTCTGTGGCTAGTCGCTGGCGAGCTCTCGAGGTTGAGGATCTCTTCCACAGGTTTGATTTTTTGTGGGTCCTTTGGTGACTGAGGAGTCTGATCCTTGAGCCACAGGCTCATTGGCAGACATTGCAGATGGTGTTGGAAGACAGGGTTGGGCCACGATTGCTGCGTGACCGTTGTCTTTCCTTTCTTTTCTGGTGTCTTTCTGTGACCAGGGCAAGGCAGTTTTCCTGCAAAGGGGATGTTCCTGCTCTGACAAGTCTTCGCCAGTTATCCCTGTTCTCCCAGTGTGTGGTGTCAATATCACATTTCTTGCTGTTTTTCTTGAGGGTGTCTTTAAAGCATTTCTTTTGGCCTCCCCATTTCCTTTCTCCTTTGGTGAGTTGGGCGTACAGCCGTTGTTTTGGTAAGCACACATCAGGCATGCGCACACAGTGCCCACTCCACCTCATCTGGTGCTGGATAATAGGGGCCTCAACCCTGAAGATGTTGGCGTTTGTGAGGACCCTGACATTAGTGCGATGATCCTCCCTCTTTACGTTGAGGATCTGCCGAAGAAAGTGCTGGGGCTGGGTTTCCTGGTTTTTCCAGTGTTTTCTGTAGGTCACCCATGTCTCGCAGCCGGGGAGGAGAGTTGGGCTTACCCCCGCTTTGTAAGCTAAACGCCTAGTGCGTGTTGTGATTGTTAAACGCCTGGCGAGGCAGTCTGCCAAAGACAAGGCTGGCACAGCAGATTCTGTGCTGAATCTTGACATCTGTGTCTGCCCTCTGTGAGAGATGGCTGCCAAGATAGGCAAAGTCTGTGCTTCGTAGCTGTGTGATGAATGTGCTGGGAGAGACAAGGGGCTCTTTTTGTCCCCTCATCCTGGTGTTTTCTGGATGCTCTGAGCGGGGTGGGACTGTGTTGATGGTGAGCCATCCAGAACTTCCTTTTGATTGTCTCCTCTCCCCCACGAATAGTGGGGCTGCGAGTGGGGCAGCAGGCACTGAGGGTTGGACTCTTGCTCTTTCAGGGGCCGGTGACCTTCGAGGAGGTGGCTGTGTATTTCACCAGGGAAGAGGGGGCTCTGCTGGACCCCGCTCAGAGAGCCCTCTACAGAGACGTCATGCAGGAGACCTACGAGAATGTGACCTCGCTGGGTAAGGATTCCTGTCCCCGTGGTTACTAGAAGGGGAAGTGACTAATTAAGGTTCATGTCACCCCTACAATGCCACCTCTCCTCTGCCCAGTTTCAGCATCCTCCGAAGATGCCTGTGACCCACACACGAGCACTCTCCCGTCCCCCGCTACACAACGCTTGGGGGGGCAAGAGCACATGAACAGTTCAGCACGGTGGTCACCAACCGGTGGTGCAGTGGGACTGCCTGCCCCGACCCCACGCTGCTCCCGGAAGTGGCCAGCACAGCCTGGGGGAGCAGGGTGCTGGGGGTCTCCCTCTGTGCGCTGCTCCTGCCTGCAAGCACTGCCCCCGCAGCTCCCATTGGCCAGAAACGGGGAACTGTGGCCAATGGGAGCTGCGGGGGAGGTGCTTGCAGAGAGGGGCAGCATGTGGAGCCACGTGCCCCCCATCCCTTCCTCCCAGGGGCCACAGGGGCACATTAGCCCCTTCCGGGAGCAGCGTGGGGCCAGGGTAGGCAGGGAACCTGCCTTAGCAGCAGCCAAGCTGCACCACCAACCGGGAGCCGCCGGAGGTAAGTGCTGCCTGGCAGGAGGCCACACCCCAACCCTCAGCCCTGAACCCCCTCCCAGAGCCAGCACCCAATACCCTCTCCTGCACCCTGAACCCCCTCCTGCATCACAAGCTCCAGCCTTGAGCCTCTTCCCAGAGCCAACACCCCGAGCCCCCTCCTGCACCCCAAGCCCCAGCGCTGACCCTCCTCCTGTAGCCAGCACCCCAAACCCCCTCCTGCACCCCAACATTCTACTCCAGCCCAGACCCCCCTCCTGCAACCAAACTCCCTTTCAGAGCTTGCACCCCTCACTGCCTCCTGCACCCCAACCCCCTCTTGCACTCCAAACCCCAGACTTGAGCCCCCTCCCAGAGCCAGCACCCCAAACCTCCTCCTGCACCCCAACACTGCCCCAGCCTGGAGCCCCCTCCTACACCCAAACTCCCTCCTAGAGCTTGCACCCCTCACCCCCTCCTGCACCCCAACCCCCTGCCTCAGGCTCAGCCCAGAGCCCCCTCAGCACTGGTGTGAGGTAGGGGTGATTTTTCAGAGTCCTAAACGACAGAGTTATCCTGGCAAAACTTTCAAGAGCAGACCATGTCAGAGTCTGCATGTGGATTTTACATGAAAATATTCTCAACTGGGAAGCGATAGACGCACTCAAATTGCCAAGCCCTTTTGAGGCCATGTCTACACTACGAAGTTAAGTCGACATTATGTAAGTCGACATCAAGGCTGTGAATTAAGCAAGTCGATCTTGTGTGTCCACACCATGCTCCTTGTGTCGGCGGAGTGCGTCCTCACTAGCATCGCTTGCATCGATGCATGGAGCACTGCACTGTGGGTAGCTATCCCACAGTGCAGGTAGCCAAATGGAATTTTGGGTAGGGCTTGCAATGCCTCATGGGAAAGCTTGTTTGCAGATGCACTGAAATAACAAAGCTCTGGGAATCATAGGACTGGAAGGGACCTCGAGAGGTCACCTAGTCCTGTCCCCTGCACTCATGGCAGGACTAAGTATTATCTAGACCATCCCTGACAGGTGTTTTTCTGACCTGCTCTTCAAACCTCCAATGATGGAGATTCCACAACCTCCCTGGGCAATTCATTCCAGTGCTTCACCACCCTGACAGTTACGAAGTTTTTCCTAATGTCCAGCCTAAACCTCCCTGGCTGCAATTTAAGCCTATTGCTTCTTGTCCTATCCTCAGAGGTTAAGAAAAAACAATTGTTTCCCCTCCTCCTTGTAACAACCTTTTACATACTTGAAAACTGTTCTCATGTCCCTTCTCAGTCTTCTCGTCTCCAGACTAAACAAACCCAATTTTTTCAATCTTCCCTCAGAGGTCATGTTTTCTAGACCTTTCATCATTTTTGTTGCTCTTCTTTGGACTTTCTCCAGTTTGCCCACATCTTTCCTGAAATGTGGTGCCCAGAGCTGGACACAATACTCCAGTTGAGGCCTAATCAGCGCAGAGTAGAGCAGAAGAATTACTTCTCGTGTCTTGGTTACTACACTCCTGCTAATACATCCCAGAATGATGTTTATTCTTTCAGATGTTTACAACTGAACATTGACTTAATACAGCTTTGAAAGTTTATTCTGTAGAAGAAAGATGCTGCTTTTAACCATCTTAATTTAAATGAAACTAGCACAGAAACCCTTTCCTTTTTGTGTCCAATCTTTTGTTTTAACCTTCCTATTTATTTTTTAGTCGTTTATGTTTAACACAGTGTGGTACTGTGTTTGGCGGGGTGTGGGTGTGTGTCTTTGCTGCTGCCTGATGGAGCACTTCCAGGTCCAAATGACCTGTCGTCGAGCAGTCAGTCGGTAACTCTGGGGTTCATAACTCTGAGGTTCTGCTGTTTTTGAAAGGAAGGGACAGATGCCCTAAGCCAGTGGCAGAGAGCTCTCCCATTGACTTAATTTCTCCAGCCCGGCGGCAGCAGCTATGTCAGTGGGGAAAGATCTCCCGCTGGCATAGCATTGTCCGCACCTGCACTTAAGTCCGTGTAACTTCTGTTGCTCAGGGGGGCAGTTTATTCACATCCCTTAGTGACATAAGTTATACCAATGTGAGCTGTAGTGTGTACCTAGCCTAAGATAGTAATAGAAAGCTAACGACATCATGTTCATTAATATTGCGTAGTGTATGTCTGGAGAACAAATGCAGAAGTACAGACATTTTGGGAATGCTGTTCTTAAAGCACGGCTGCCAGCCAGGGCTGAAGTTACCCCACCCTAGACAAAGACGGGTGGTTCTGCTACCTTGAAGGCATATTCAAGGTACATTAAGAGAAAATGGGAATGCAATTTACATAAAAGAAACCGTCAAACTATGCAGAGATAACCACTCAGCATCAGGTAGGAGAGGATATCGCAGAAACAGGCCAATTTGCATTTTAGCAAACACCAGCAGGGGAGGAAACCAGCATTGAACTTCCTTCATCGCGAGACTCCAGGCCTCCTTCCTCACAGCTTGAATGACTTTTACTTTGGAGGGGAACCTTCAGAAAACTCCCTTTCAAAGGTTCACTGAACTATACCAAAGAGAGGCGGAGACTCCCAAGTTATCTTTCATTTAAGAAGACAAAGGAGCCAAGCCCTTTCGACTTTGGGGGAGATACGGAGCAAGGGGGTGCTCTGCCCTCTTGCTGGAAAGTAGTATTGTCAGATTAGTGAAAAATTTCAAAGTCCCCCCTCGGCCACCAGGTCAACCCCGAGGAAAAGGGCTGAAAAATTTTCAAAGTCCCTGCTCGGCCATCAGGTCAACCCCATTCAAACTAATGGGTTGACCTGATGGCCGGTTGTCTCGCGGATGTCCAGAAGGGGTCGCCCAAAGTCACCTCTGCCGACCAAGGGAACCGCAACGTCAGACAGGATTCCAGGTTGGTCCCGCTGAAAGGGGGGGTGGGATTTTCGACTTTTCCATTAGGGCCAGAGGTCTGAACGAGTCCGTCACGGGGCCGGGGGCTCGCCCTGTGGCTTCTTTTGGGGCCATGGGTCCCCAGTGGAGGAAGCCAGCGGGGGAGCTGGGCACCCGTCACCCACACCCTTGTCCTCCAGCTGTGACCATCTGACTTGGAGGAGCCAGGGGCTGAGGGGCGACCAGGGGCTTTTCACCCCACCCCACCCCGTCTCCCGCCCTTCTTCCCCAGAAAAGGAGAGAGCTGGCTCAGACCGGGAAAAGCTGCCTACGGCACCTGGGATTCTCTGGCGGTCACCCATCCAAGTACTAGCCAGGCCCGGGACGGTTTACCTTCCGAGATCGGACGGGATCGGGGGGTGTTCGGTCCGGTATGGCCGTAGGCACCCAGCTTCGCGCCACCTCGTCCGCTTTCCCTTACTGACTCCCAGGCCTGCTGGACCGAATCCCGGGCTCCCCCGGTTCCCCCACGTCGCCTGCCGTGCAGCAGGGCCCCCTGCCTCAGGTGGGCCCGATCCTTTTTTTTTGAGCTCCGGGGACTGGCCTGGCTGCCGGAGCTCCCCCCTCCCCCTTCTGGCATCGGGGAAATTTTTTTTCAGACTTCCAGGGGCCCGATCCCTGTCCTCAGCGTTGCGGGGCGGCCGGGGGCCTTCTCTCACTGCAGCCATGGACGGCGAGACGCTCAGCCACCAGGTCAAACCCCGAGAAAAAGGGCTGAAAAAATTTCAAAGCCCTCCCCAACTCCCCCCCTTGGCCACGAGGTGCAAAGAAGCCTTATTATTCTTGTGAATGGTCCAGGAAAAAGTAGACAGTGCAGAGCACGTGGTTTGGGAAAAATTCAGGAGTGGATGTGTTACTGTCTCTGACAGGTGTATACCAGGCTGGTAGAATCCAGAATGTGCCGGGGTGTAAGAAGCAGGCTGCTGGGGTCAGAGCTGCTGGTCCAGGGTTATTTATCTCACAGACATTCAGTGCGTCCTTGAATGCTGGCTGGGAGCATCCAGACAAGGGAGCTCCAGCAGAACATTTCAGATCACCCAGGATTACAGATGACACAACTCCGCACTGGTCTGGATTGCCCCCCAGCATGTGACAATGGCCTAGGATGGTAGTGAAACATCTTGAGTCTTGCTCCCCCAACCCCATCTGCAATAGCCACAATCTCTCTTCTCTGCAGGCTCCTTGGATCTTGGGGTCCATCATTCCTGAAGTCACCTGGCCTGATCCTTATTTTTCACATTCTGCTTTTCCAGATGACTGTGTCTGTTGCTTCTGATTTCCCAGCATTCTCCACAGCCAGGGATTTTCATACTCCCTCCCATTACACTGGGCTCACTAGATTCCCCGATGCCGCAGTATGTGCCTTCCTGACCTCGAATAGTGCTGAGATCCTGCATTCAGTGATCTCCCTGCCCTTCCTGTTCCTTACTGCACAGAACCCCACCAGCCCATGCTGGCCATTCCCAGCTTCCCCAGGACTCTCGCATTGTCTCTGGACCTCTCTGTCAGCAAAAAGCAGTGCCAGGGAGACTTGACCTCTGTCTGGAGTCTTCAATTTCTAAGACATGGATTTACCTTCTCTGTAGTTTAGAACATAAGAACGGCCATACTGGGTCAGACCAAAGGTCCATGTAGCCTAGGATCCTGTTTTCTGACCATGGCAATGCCAGGTGCCCCAGAGGGAATAAACAGACAGGTTATCGTCAAGTGATCCATCCCCTTTCACCCATTCCCAGCTTCTGGCAACCAGAGGCTAGAGTCACAATCCTGGCTAATAGCCATTGATGGCCATTTTATACTGCCTTTTATACTGCTTTGCTGTAAGATCAGCCACTCCTGGCCAGTTAACACACTGTGTGCAGCATGTAACTCGCTCTCAGCCGCACAGTGTTGGGTGGTGCTAGTCAGCCACTTGTGAATTATACTGCAGGAGAACACCTGCAAATTCGCTAGTCCCAGACTGTCCCCCTGGCACTCTCCAGCACATTACTAAACAATACGAGGTCATATAAAGTCTGCTCACTTCATCAATGGAAAATGACCTTCAACAGGTTTGTTATCCCAAGAGGAGTTTCTCACACACTTTAATCCAAACACGCTAGTTATATAAAACAATAAAACAACTTCATTAACTACAGAAAGAAAAGATTTTAGGTGACTACAAGTAATGAGGAATAAAAGTCAGGATTGGTTACAAAAGAAATAAAAGATAAAATGCAAACTAACGTCTAACTTAAGCTAAAACAGATTCACAGTGAATGTGTTCCTCCCGCTATATGCTGTGACAAACTGGGTTTCCTTTCAGCCAGGACCCTGCCTCCCCAATTTCAGTTCTTCAGGAGTTGTTGTGATGAGCAGAGAGAAAAGGGGAGAGATACTCTCAAGCATTTTCCCCACCTCTTCTTCTTATTCAGTCCTTTGTGCTAGAAACAGCCTCATTTTTCAGCTGAGTCATGGTGATGGGCTGTCTGCTGTGGATTTGAGCTTCAAGCCGTCCCTGAGATGGAATGTAAATTTCTTGTTCACACCTTCCCCCTGCTGGAGAATGGCCGTTTAACCAGGTGATAGCTTTGCTGTCTCTGAGGAACTGGTCTCTGGCTGTTCTGCAGAATTCTAGCATTTTTTCAGAAACATCTACAGTAAAATCTCATGTGTTTACATACACAGTGTTGCTACACATATTTTAACAGGACAATAAAGTTCAGCATATATTCAATTTCCAAATTATGCCTAACAAGACATACTTTGTACAAAATATAATTTTGCAAAAGAGTGAATATACAGTTACAGACTGTCACAGTATCTGTCTATGTGTGTTCCCAGCATATATGTGAATAGTTCAACCTCTCATAAGCAGGGTGTTCTGCACCTTTCAGAACCTGGAGAGGAGGCCCTGTGATTTCACTGGTTTACTAAGCACTGAGTTAAATTAAGAATTATTTTTTATTACAAAGTCTTAGGAATTCACCTGATGTCATTTGTTTTCTTTCATCTGAGCAGGGTTTCCAGTTTCCAAACCTGATCTTATCTCCCAGCTGGAACAAGGGAAAGAGCCATGGGTCCCAGACCTCGAGGGTTCAGGGGAAAGAGAGCTCCTGAGACGTCCTTGCGCAGGTGAGGAAATATTAAACTAACTCAATCTGTAAGTGCCTGATGGAAAAATCTGGGATACCCTACAAAGACCTCGGGAGCTCTCTGAGTTCAGGAGGATTGTCCCCAGCAGATGGTGTATCCTCAGGGCATACATAGCTTATGGCTTCCTACAGATCCTAACTGACACATATCAGTGGGAAGCTACTGACAATTTGGATTTGATATGAAGGCAGAATTGATCCCCTCCTCTCTCCCTTTTTGGGGAAGAGTTAGGGGAATTCAGTTCCTGGTTTTTGACATCTCTCCAGCACTTATTTTGGTTTGCTTTTTCCTTTTCCATCCCTGTTTGAGGTTTCTCTCTCTGTTCCAGCAGGTGCTGGGATGATGAGTGAGAATGAGGAGCAGAATCCTGAGCAGGAAGATGCTGAGCAAGTTGCACCTCACGGAATATTATCAAAAATAACCAGAGGGAACATGTCCAGGAATCATGAGCAGGGAAAAATCTGTGAGATTCAGCAAAGACCAGAGAGAGAGCAGGGAAAGCAGCCAGGGGAGAAATTTAATAAAATTATTTACTGTCAGGGAACTCACAAAGACCTCAAAGAAACCACAGCCCAGCAGAGAATCCTGACAGGAAGGAGGAAGAAAAAAGACACTGAGTGTGGGGAAAACTTCAGTGATGGCTCAGCCCTTATTAAACATCAGAGAATTCACACTGGTGCGAAACCCGATGAATGGTGTGAGCGTGGGAAAAGCTTCACTGAGAGCTCAGAACTTACTGCACATCAGAGAGTCCACACAGGGGAGAGGCCCTATGAATGCTCCGAGTGTGCAAAAACCTTCATTCACAGCTCACACCTCAAGACTCATCAGAGAATCCACACAGGGGAGAGGCCTTATGAATGCTGTGAGTGTGGGAAAACCTTCAGTCGGAGCTCAAATCTCATTAGACATCAGACAATTCACACGGGAGAGAGACCCTATGAATGCTCTGAGTGTGCGAAAACCTTCACTCACCGCTCAGACCTCAAGACACATCAGAGAATCCACACAGGGGAGAGGCCTTATGAATGTTGTGAGTGTGGGAAAACCTTCAGTCGGAGCTCAAATCTCATTAGACATCAGACAATTCACACGGGAGAGAGACCCTATGAATGCTCTGAGTGTGCGAAAACCTTCAACTGCAGCTTCCACCTCACTCGACATCAGAGAATCCACATGGGGGAGAGACCCTACAAATGCTGCGAGTGCGGGAAAGCCTTCACTCACACCTCATACCTTGCTAGACATCAGAGAATACACACAGGAGAGCGACCCTATAAATGCGGTGAGTGTGGGAAAGCCTTCAGTCGCCGCTCACACCTCCATACACATCAGAGAATGCACACCGGAGAGAGACCCTATAAATGCCGTGAGTGTGGGAAAACCTTCATTCGCAGCTCACAGCTCACGAGACATCAGAGACTCCACACCGGAGAGAGTCCCTATGAGTGCAGTGAGTGTGGGAGAAGCTTCTCTCAGAGCCCAAACGTTGCTCAGCATCAGAGAATCCGCACACGTGAGAAACCCTATAAATGCAGCGAGTGTGGGAAAAGCTTCAATGAGAGCTCAACCTTATCAGACATCAAAGAGCCCACAAGGGGGAGTGGCCCTATGAATGCCGTGAGTGCGGGAAAAGCTTCACACGGAGCTCAGCCCTTAACTATCATCAGAGAATCTGCAAGGGAGCTAAACACCATAAAAACCTCTAGGGCTGTCCCAACACTTGTTCTTTAATGCTTTTGCTAATTCCCACATAGTAACCTTTAAAGCTGTTTGAACCGTTTGCATCAGTGTTATCCCACAGCTTGTCCAGACGAGTTGCCCATTTTTGTCTTTTGCAGCTCTCTCTTTTTTGAGGTGGACCTGGTTGTCCTTACTATCCACTCCATTGTCCCAGGAGTAATGGGAGTTTGTCTCTCCTTCCACAAAACAAGGAGCATCACATTTATACTGTTCCTCTTATTGCACTGTTGTTTTTAGAGTGACCAATGATAGATTGTATCATTCTCAGTTGTTCTCACATTGCTCTGGAGTGCGCTCAACGGCATTTGAGGACGTTTTCTTCAGTTATAATGTATTTATATATAATGAAGAGAAGCAGGGGCAGGAAAAAATTGTCACTTCAGCCTCTGTGACACTGGAAGGAGATGGGGTGACTCAGTGGTTCCTTCCTTCCCCAGCACTCCAGAACGGTTTCCTCCTTTCTGAGGCATGTAGAGTTTATCTTCTTCGCATTCTATCCCTCCACCTCTCAAAGTGTCATGTAATGCAGTGTTCTCAGCTGTCTGTGCTTGGAGACGATGCTTTGATTTCTTTAATCCTAAATCAGAGTCACTATGACTAGAGACGAAAGTGTCAAAGACCTGCAAGAGGAATTCAAATGGAACCCAAACACAGTGTGATGATTTGGAGTTTGAATTCCAGTTTCCATCTATTGGCAAAGCCACTTGGGGTGTTTTTTTCTCCCTTATGAGGATGTTATATTGCTAAAACTTTTGTAAGTAATGTAATTCAATAATGAGACGGTGCTGAGTCCAGCAGGTTTGAATGGATCAGAGGAGAATGTGATGGGAGAATCTATTGTCCTAATTCTGAATCCTGAGATGTAACCTGCTCTGGAATTTCACTTGACTCTTTCATTTTCATGTAGTCTACCTCTTTGTGAGGTGGGTGTGACAGTATGCCCCCATATTCTTCATAGAAATATTGTTATAATTATAGCATATCTAAGATGTATTTTATGCAAGATGGGTCATGTGAGGTCCATTGGAAAGGTTATGATGTACTGAATGTGATTATCCTATGTATGCATGTATCCTTTTTGTATCTAAAGTTAGGAATATCGTCTATACATCTGTACTACAAAAGTATTTGCACCTGGGGAACGCCCACCAGACAGAATACAATCAGTCTGGATTGGCCATTAGGAAGAACAATTTGTCTTTGAAGATGCTAATCTCCCACCTTTCTGAGAAGCTTTTCTGGCATGCCACAAACAACCTCTGACTCATGGCTGTTTTGACACTGCAGGGTCATGTGATCACATCACCTGGTATTGGACTCCATGATAGAATACCAGTATTTTTTCCACTGCGGGGGGAACCACACTCAAAAATAAAGGGTTCTCACCATATGTAAAATCTATTTAAGTCTGGAGAGTGGCTTAATCAATGTTCATTCTTCACTGAATTCCTGCCCAGGATGACTGATGGAAACATCTAAGAAACAAAGACAAAGGGCGGGGGCGGGGGGGGGGGCAGTGCAGAAGGAGTGAGCCCAGGCTGGGAAGGTGTCTGGCCTGTGAAAGAAATACCTGGAGTTTTAAGCTGCAAGCAAGAGCAGCTTGCCTTCAAGAAGCTCTGCAATCTGTCTAAAACAACATTTAGGGTGAGAAATTACTACTTGTAACCCATTTCTTCAGTATTAAGCTTAGCTTGTGTGTTTGTTTCATTTGCTAGGTAATCTGCTTTGATCTGTTGGCTATCCCTTATAATCACTCAAAATCTATCTTTTGTAGTTAATAAACTTGTTTTTGTTTTCTCTAAAACCAGTTATTCATAGCTGGAAGGTGTAAAAAGCTGTGCACATCTCCCTCCACATGGACAGAGGGAGTGAATTTCATGAGCTTACGCTGTACAGTGCAAGACAATACAATTTTGGGTTTGCACTCCAGGGGTGTGCACGTGGGTATCTGGGCAGTTCCTTAGCTGAAGTCTTCCCATGCAGTGCTGATTTCAGTGTCTTTCTGCAGCTAGGTGTGCCCCTGCCTGTGTGTGCTGGAGGACACTGGAGGGCCTGGCTCAGCAGGACAGTGTAAGGGAGCCCAGGGTGGTGGAAAAGAGGGTACTACTGAGACCGCAGTATATCAGGTGGCACCTCAGAGTGTGGAGCAACCCCTCACAGTGGGTTTCTCTTTCCTGAAGGCTGTTTGGTCAACCAGTTGGATATTCATTTAGTTTGACAAGATGTAACTCAGATTTATTGGAGACTTAGAGACAAATGACCATTTTGCTAAAGTCATTGTTTCTTGCTTTAGCTTTGCTTTTCCCCCCATCCCTCCATGATGACGTGGAGAAAGTTCAAGTGCAGGTCAGTCAATGAGAACTCTCTTTGTTAGCATGTCCAGTAAATGGGAAAGCGTGGTATTAAAATCTCCACTGGGAAATGGTGAACAAGACTCCCAACTATCTGGAAGAAGTGCATATGATCACAGTGTAGTTCAGTTGTTTAAGTCAATATTGTCTCAAATGTTCTGAGGAAGGAATTCCACCCTAAGTGATTTTGAACTAGGCAAAATGCCCATGTGTTTGGTTCCCAAAGCATCTGTAACCCAGGCCTTACAGAAGATCTCTCCTAGCTAATCCTTTGGTAGGGGAAGTGCTGCCCTTGATGATGCAGATGTTGAGGAAATAAAAGTGGGGTTTCTGTTGAATTTATGCTTTGTAGGTGCTACAGATGTGTATAAAATGAAATCAGTGTTGAAAATGTAACAGTTTAAGAAAAATAGCCATTTTTTAGTAGAAATGCCAACTCTGGTAACTAACAGAGATTCTGATCCAGGCCTGTATCAAGTCACTAGTCTGGACCTGTGCCACCAAATTAAAGAAAATAGGGCGTGTTTGGGGAAGCCGTTCTGCCCTAGCACTCCTGAGATTTGGAGTGGTTTGGTAAAGGATTCTACTTCAGAGAAGTGTAAATGTACCCTAGACATGGCCAAGGATTCGGAAAGAAGGGGGGGTAGAAATAGTACACACCCAGTTCTTGGTTTTCACCCAGTAAAGGACGCTATGGTGACCAATGGCCCAAGAAAAACAAAACAAAAAACCAAGACAACTTTCAATTTTCCAGTATAATTCAGGTGATCACATAAGTAGGCTCTTACTCTTTAACCCATAGGCCAGCCT